CCTGACAGCGCTGCTCCTGTAGGCTGTACTGCTGAAGATCCCCCATGGTCTATCTTCGCTCTGGCGTCTGTCCGGGGGAAGAAAGTGAACGTTCTCGCAGCGCGCGCCAGCGCGTGGACTCCTGTTCCTATGACCTGGACCAGGTATGAGGCAGGGTTCCTGGCTGGAGGGGCTGACTGCCCCCGGCCTGCGTCCACCGGGCCAGCGCGGCTACTTGGGCACCACAAGGGGGCAGCCTGCTCCGTCCCGCAGCTCAGGCCCGCACAGGCCCTGGGAATAGGTGCCGAGTCTGCGGTGTGGGCTGTACGTGGGGCTCTGAAGCGGTGCAGAGCTTCCCTGGGCCACAAAGAAAAGACAGACACACAGCCCTGAAGGTGATGCTAGCACAGGGCCTAGAGGTGCCCTGGGTCAGAGACTGGGGTGACCCAGGTACACGCCCTAGTGGTGCCCAGACTTAAGAGGCTGGCTCTGGCTGTCCCATCTCCTGCTCACACCTGACAGCCCCTAGATGCCGCCATCCAGCGTGTGTTCTTGGTGACTGTGTGGCCACGCACCCTCTTGGTTGGTCTGGCCCCCACCTGTCTCCCCTGCGAGTCCCCCAGTCCATGGGGTGGGTGGACACAGCCCTCCTGCTACTGGGACTGCTTCTGAGCAGGCTGTCCCGAGTTCCCTCAGGAAGCCGCAGAGTCCCGACTGCAGCTCTGGGATGGGGGAGGGCGCAGCGCTGGGCCGTCCCTGGGCGCGGGGTCCTGCTGATGCCCGGCGTGCCGGCCCCTCCCCACAGCTGTTCATCGGGACTCTGCTCTTCACCATCCTGCTCTTCCTCCTGCCGACCACGGCCCTGTACTACCTGGTGTTCACCCTGGTGAGCTGAGCACCCCCAGGCCTGGGCACTGGCTGTGGCCACTGGGCTTGGCTGCAGTGCTCTGTGTGGTTCCTGCCAGCACTGCCTGGGAGCTGTCAGCTGTGGGGCGGGCTGTCTCCTGCTGCAGGCCACGTGGGTGGCCTTTCAGGACCCTCTGGGCAGTGTGTGCTGGGCCCTGGAGCAGGCAGGGACCCAGCCTGGTCACGAAGACCCCCTCACTGCCCTGTAACACACAGCTGGGTGCTTGGTGGGAGGACCCACGGCAGGGGGGGATCACACAGGACGCCTTCCCTGGTGCCTGGCACTGGGGCAGACAGTGGGAGGTGAGCAGAACCACCTCCAGCACCTGGCTGATCCCCAGGCCTTGATCCCCTCTGCGTGTAAGGCTGTGGGGAGGCACCTCTGACCTGGTGGGAGGGCCGACTGCTCCACCTCCAGCTTTGCTCCAGGGCAAGGCCCAATGGCGGGCTCTGTGCCCTGCTCAGGGTGTGGTCCCTGCTCTCCCCAGGGCCCTGCAGCCTCTGGGCCCCCTTCATCATGGCCCAGGATGGGGTCGGGCTGCTCTGCCCCCAGGCACGTCTGGCCAGGCCAGTCCTAAGCGCTCCTCTGCCACAGCTCCGGCTCCTGGTGGTCGCTGTGCAGGGCCTGATCCATCTGCTCGTGGACCTCATCAACTCCCTGCCGCTGTACTCACTGGGTCTTCGGCTCTGCCGGCCCTACAGGCTGGCGGGTAAGTGTTGCGTACTGGACAGCTGTCCCTGGGCGGGTGGAGGGGAACCACACCAGTGGGCCCTGCAGAAGCAAGGACAGCACAGGCCACTGTGCCTCCGGCCTGGAAGCCGTGGTAGACATGAGCAAGTGGGCAGGGAGGACAGGGCCTCCCAGTCTCAGAGGTCTGCAGGACCAGCTGCCTCCAGGAGGTGGAGAGAGAGACTCATCTGCCGGCGCAGGTTCAGACACCGGGCGATCGGACGCCACAGGCCTTTGTTCTGCCTTGGGATTTTCTGGGCTTGGGAGCCTGAACTGCAGGCCAGGGGTGTGGTGGGTCCTGAGTCGGCCAATCCCAGCAAACTTAGAGGCACTAAGAGCCAGCAAGGCGGCCATCATCCAGCAAGTACCCTGTCTGCTCTGCCGGAAAACCCTGTCCACTCAACAGCACAGCCTGCGCCTGTCCCTCACCGGGGTCTTCCCTGCTTGCCGGACACTTGGCTTCTTTCAGTGGAGCTCTGCAGGGGAGGCTTTTTTTTTTTTTTTTTTTGGAGATGGAGTCTCGTTTGGTCGCCGGCAGGCTGGAGGTGCCCAACAGTGTATTCTCGGTCCAGAACGTGGCAATGTCCCTCCAGCGCGTCCCACTGGTTCGAAGCGGATTCTCCTGCCTTCAGCCCTCCCAAGTAGCTGGGTTACAGCGCTGTGGCCACCACACCCGGCTAATTTTTTTTCGCGATTTTTTTTTTTTTTTTTGTTTGCAGATCGGAGTCATAGTTCTAGTCGCCAGCCTGGGATGCAGTGGCCGCGATCGTCGGCTCACGTGCAGCTCCAGCCTCCCGGGTTTCACTGTTTTCCATTCTCCTGGCTCAGCCTCGCCGGCCGAGTAGCGTGGGCTACAGGCACCCACACCCGCGCACCGGTAATTTTTTGTTTTCTTGTGTTCTTTAAGAGAGACGGGGTTTCACTGTGGATCGTCGATCCCTGACCTTCGCTGGATCCACCCGCTCCCGGTCCTCCCAAAGTGCTGGGATTACAGGCGTGAGCCACTGCGCCCGGCTAATTTTTTCTATTTTAGTAGAGATGGGGGTTTCATCATTTTGGCCAGGCTGGTCTCAAACTCCTGACCTCGTGATCCTCCCTTCTCAACCTCCCAAGTAGCTGGGATTACAGGCACAAGCTATCACACCTGACTAATTTTTGTATTTTTAGTACAGATGGGGTTTCACCATGTTGGCCAGCCTGGTCCCGAACTCCTGACCTCGTGATCCGCCCCCCCTCGGCCTCCCAAAGTGCTGGGATTCCAGGCGTGAGCCACTGCGCCTGGCTGCAGGAGGCTTTGATGCTGCCCTGGCAGCGAGATCCAGGAGTTGGGGTGGGGAAGGGGCAGGGAGAGCCTCGTGGGTGGCCACGGCCAGCAGCACCTGGGTGCCCCTCAGAGAGGAAGGTACCTCCAGCCTCTGCCCATGCGTGGAGCTGGCCCCCACACGTCCTCCCTCGTAAGCCCCTTGCTATCCTTGCAGCTGGTGTGAAGTTCCGTGTCCTGCAGCACGAGGCCGGCAGGCCCCTCCGCCTCCTGATGCAGGTGAGGCCCCCTGTGGCCAGGACGTCCTATGCTGCTGCCCCTGTTCTGGAACAGTGGGGTCAGCTGGGTGTAGTGTCTGGATGGCACCATGCCAGCCTGCGATGAGGCACAGGGAGGGTCCAGTGGAGCTGAGGGGCAAGGCCCACCCGGGAACGCCCCCCCTTACCCGCAGGGCCTGAGGACACTGGTGTCCTGTGGATGGGGCCCATTCTGCCCTGTGTCAGAGGCGCCCTTGGCTGGCTGGGGCTGCCCTGGGTCCCACAGGGCTCAAGTTCTGGGTGGAGTAGAACTGACTGAGTGAGTCCTGGAGTGGGGCGTGTGTCCCTGCAGCACGGCCCTTCAGAGTTGGGCAGCCCCGAGGGGAGATGCAGCTCCTGCCTCCCCACAGCGCTCCCTTCTGGCTGCAGGCTCACCTACCTGCCTCCCTGGGAACTGGGACCGGCTTGTCCCACAGGCAAGGGAATGTCTGGGACAGCGCTGGCCCTGCCCCACAACTGCCCGCCCCCGCCCTCTCTCTGCAGATGGGGTTGGAGCTCAGACCACCCCGCTGACCGCCGCCCTTGTCCTTCCAGATAAACCCACTGTCCTACAGCCGCGTGATGCACACCTACCGTCTCCCCAGCTGTGGCTGCCACCCCAAGGACTCCTGGGGTGCCCTGTGCCGCAAGCTGTTCTTTGGGGAGCTCATCTATCCCTGGAGGCAGAGAGGGGACAAGCAGGACTGAGGGAGCCGGCCGCCGGCTCGCCCAGAACCACTGCACAGCCACGGCCAGCCCTCTGCCAGGGTGGTGCCACCTCAGCTGGCGCGCGGCCCGTGCTTTGTGGACGCTGCTGTATGCTCCCAAACACGGCAGGCCCTGCTATCACACCTTGGGCTTGGAGGTCATTGGGGGTGAGCAGATGTGGGGGTGGCCAGCCCAGCTGGCTGCGCTCCATCACTGGCACTGCCTGCCTTGAGACCCACTTCCCGCCTGCTGCAGTCACCACGGTGGCGAGCACAGCAGCCCCAGGTGTCCAGAGCACTGCCCCATGCCCACCCTGCATACCCAGGTCCAGAGGGCCCGGGCCCTGACTCCCTGAACCACACGGGGTTTATTTGCTGATGTTCCCTGGAAAGGTCGCTTTGTGAAGGAGCTGTCAGCAGGCCGTCGGCATTGCCAGGCTGCTGTGGGGGTGGGAGCAGCCTCAATGTCAAGGGCCCGCCCACTGACCTAGCCATACCTCTCCGTGAGTGGTGCCCCTGCAGCAACAGGCCCTTGGGCCAAATCTCCTGTCTCCCATCATGGGCCTCCCAAGGAAGGCAGAAGCCCTGCTGTGCAGACACCTCTGTGGGCCACGGGTGTGAGCAGCCTGGGAGGGGCTGTGGCACTGAAGCCAAAAGTGCCTGCCAGACAGCACGGCCTGGGTGCGGGGTTCCCTTCAGGAGGGGAGCCTGCAGGTGCCGGCTGGTGAGGGGATGACGCGCTGTGGGTGGGAGGAGGCAGCGCCCGTCTCAGCAGCACCAGGACCACTCCGGACTCCCTGGCGACCCAGCACTGGGGAAGCCGTCAGCTGCTGTGCAATAAAACCTGCCCCGTGTTTGGAGCGCAGGCTCGGCCCTGGGTCCACGAGCGCCACGAGTCCAGGGAAGCTCCAGGGTGGGGATGCGGACGCTACCCGAGGGATTTGGGCTGCCTCACATGGGCCTGCCCTGCGGAGTCGACGCCGGTTTCCTGCTCGAGGCCCTGACGGCGGCTGATGGGACGAGCTCGCAAGCCCTGGGCCCCAGAGGACCTTGGTGTAGGCGGGTGAACCCGGGCCCCCCTACCCTGGGGTCATGGCCTTGCCCTGACATAGATGGCGCAGGGGTGTAGGCCTCCAGGGGCGGGGCGAGCAGCTCCAGCTCTGGGTCTGTGGAGTCCATGTGGGGTGGGGCCCTCATGGGTCCTGGCCCAGTAGAGCCTGCAGCTGCCACATCTGCTAAGAACGGTCTCCGTTGCCTGCAGTGCAGGGGCCCACCTGGCAGGCCCCACAGCCCATTCCCGGCCCGAAGTGTACAGGCCTCCATCCAACCTGGACTTCCAGGCAACCAGAGGCTGGACTCAGAGGCACTCGGGGCCCACCAACCCTCTCCCTGTGTCCCCCGCCTCCCCCCAGCTGCCCACCTGGCCCAACACCCCTCCCATCTGTATCCCCCCCCACTCCCCCTCCAGCTGCCTACCCTGTCCCTACCAGCTGCCCACCTGGCCTGTCACCCCTCCCACCTATACCCCATAGCTGCCCACCTCACCCCCCACCCTACCTTTACCCCCACTCCCCCTCCAGCTGCCTATTGAGTCCACCAACACCCCCAACCTGTACCTCCCACTCCCCGCAAGCTGCCCACTGGGCCACCACCCCTCCTAGGGCTTCCACCAGGTGAGGGTCTTGACGCTCAGCCCACTGCTCTGTGATGGCCATGTCATGGGTCATGTCTGGCAGCGGTCGCCCCCTCTGCGGGCACTGGGCTGACTGCCTACCCTGAGGGCCAGCCAGGTTTGGCACCAGAGCTGACCAAGGGAACACCATCACCCCAGCCACTCGCAGCCACCGAGAGGTGCCGCCTGCACCTCCAGGCTCCATCTGTCCTCGCTGTACAGCCCCTGCCTGGAGACAGCCTACACCTGTGGGGCGCCCCTCATCCCTCCACCAGGGCTCTGGCCACCCCTGCCTCACTGACCCAGACAGGACAATGGGCTGGAGCTTTTCCAAGGCCTGCCCAGGACCATTTATGGACCCTCAGGACACCCTGAGAAGCAGACACCTTCCCTTTCAGAGCTGGGGCCGCCCACAGAGAAGGGTCTCACCAGTACTTCACAGATTCAGACTTACAGAAATGCTGTGAGAGTAACACAGGGTGCTTCCAGCACCCCTCACCTATATGCCCCCACGACCTTGTGCTGTGTGTACGTTTTCACATTTTGTCTTTTTTTTTTTGAGTCAGGGTCTCACTCTACTGTCCATGCTGGAGTGCAGCCTCAACCTCCCTGGGCTCCAGCGATTCTCCCACCTCAGCCTCCTGAGTATCTGGGATTACAGGCACCCACCACCACGCCTGGCTCATTTTTGTGTTTTTAGTAGAGACAGGGTTTCATCGTGTTACCCAGGTTGGTCTTGATCTCTTGGGCTCAAGCCACCTGCCCGCCTCGGCCTCCCAAAGTGCTGGGATTACAAGTGTGAGCCACCAGGCCCAGCCAGCACATTCTTTATATTTTTCTGCACCATTTGAGTCAGCTGCCCATTTTGGCTCTAGAATTTTCAGCATGCATTTCCTCAGAACAAGGCAGCCAGTGCGGTGCTCAAATCCCGAGCTTTTGCACAGATGCTGTCCAAGCCACCGACCCCATTCCCGTGTGTCCCATGTGTCATGGGCCAGTCTCCAAAGCCTCTGGTGCTTTAGGGATGGAGCCCGTTACTCAGGCGTGTCCCTGGTTGGGTCTGCTGATGACCCTCATGATGAGATGCCACTCATGCTTATGGCAGCAGTAGCAGGGCACCACCCAGGGTGGCACACAGAGTCCACCTGTTCATCCCAGTGATGCCAATGTGACTACTTGGCCTCACCCCTGTCTGCGGGGTTTTGTGCTGCAAAGCCACGTTCCCTTGTCATTAGTAACTTGTCCATGGAAACGGGACCATGTTCATGCTGTCCCTCACTGCCCTCATCCACTGCACACTGTGTCCACCAAGGTCATTGCCTCTGTCCACTTGGGATGTGAGTGAGGCCTCCCCATGGCGGCAGGCCAGGACCAGGAGTCCCTGAGTAGCTGAAACTTGTAGGTGCTCCCTGGGCACAGGGCTTCAGGGGCCAAGGTTTGTCTGCCCCACTGGGCAATTGTCCACCCACTTAGCAGGACTTCGAGGACATCCCAGCGGCCACTGGGCACCCAGGGCGCAGGGCGGACACCCCAAACCGCTCCCTTTGTCCCCCAAGCCCCTCACTTGGGCAGGGGCTCCACTTAGTGGCCTGGCCTGTCTCTGCCAGTGGGTGTGGGGTGTGGCAGGAGGGGGCTGTCAGGGTCTCCACCAGATACTGCTCAGGCCTCCGAAGTGAGTACCCCGGTGGTGGCTCACCCAGACTTCTGGGTGGAGGTCTCTTCCCACACTCCACTGTCCCTGGCTGCCCTGCTCCTGGCCTGAGGTCCCTCAGCAGCAGGGATGGTGTCCTGCCCCTGGGGCCCAGGCCTGGCTTGGCCACGGTGGACCCCAGAATATCCTGCGTAAGTGCACGCAGCTGCGTGGGAGGCGCAGCCCCTCGGTCCACAAGGCCTGGATGCCAGAGGATAGCACCCATCTGTCTGTCCCTCCCTTCACTGGGCCTGCTGCCCCAGACCCATCTAGGTTCCCTGTGACGCTTTTCTGCTCAGAGGCTGGGAGGTCACAGGGCACAGCAGCTTTCCGAGGATCTCACCCTATGGAAAGATTCCTGAACCCAAACCACAGGTCCCCACCAACAGGGCTGTGTCCACAGGCTGTGGTGGGCAGGTCCAGTGGGAGAAACCTGACTTCCTCATCAGCCAGGGGATGGCCCCTTCTTGTCCCAGGAGGTGGGAACCAGGCAGCAGTGGCCCACAGCTGGGTCTGGAGAGCATTTTACTTTTTTTTCTTTTTTAAAAAGTTCATTTTTGTGAAGACCATAAGGACATTTTTAATTGTTTATTTTTGAGCCACTTTTTTTTTTCTTTTTTTTCCTGAGACAGAGTCTTGCTCTGTAGCCCAGGCTGGAATGCGGTGGCACAATCTCGGCTCACTGCAACCTCCATTTCCTGAGTTTAAACAATTCTGCCTCAGCCTTCCAAGCAGCTGGGATTACAGGCACATACCAACATGCCCAGCTAATTTTTGTATTTTCAGTGGAGAGGGGATTATCACCATGTTGGCCAGGCTGGTCTAGAACTCCTGACCTCAGGTGATCCACCCACTTCAGCCTCCCAAAGTGCTGGGATTACAGGCATGAGCCACCGTGCCTGGCCTCAGAAAGTGTTTCTGATTTACGTTTTCAGGAAAGGAAGAGACAGCTGTTCACCACTATCCCCGCTTCCAGGCAGCCTCAGAAACCGAGGAGGAAACATCACACCTTTGGTGTTTCCCATCCCTGGAGTGAGGGGCCTCAGGAACTTCACAGCCAGGGCTCGAGTCCGGGCACAGTGACCTCTGGGCAGAAGAGGCTCTCCCTGACCCGCCAGGTTGATTCCGGGTCAGTTAATGCCTGGGGAACTTGGCAAGACGCCATCTCTACAAAAAATACAGAAGTTAGCCGGGCATGGGGGCGCCTATAGTCCCAGCTACTCGGGAGGCTGAGGCCGGAGGATCGCTTGTGCCAGGGAGGTAGAGGCTGCAGTGAGCCAAGATCGCGCCACTGCACTGCAGCCTGGACGACAGAGGGGGGCCCTGTTTCAAAAACGAAAAAACTGGCCGGGCGCGGTGGCTCACGCCTGTAATCCCAGCACTTTGGGAGGCCGAGGCGGGCGGATCACGCGGTCAGGAGATGGAGACCATGCTGGCTAACACGGTGAAACCCCGTCTCTACTAATAAAAAAATACAAAAAAACTAGCCGGGCGAGGTAGCGGGCGCCTGTAGTCCCAGCTACTCAGGAGGCTGAGGCAGGAGAATGGCGTGAACCCGGGAGGCGGAGCTTGCAGTGAGCGGAGATCGCGCCACTGCACTCCAGCCTGGGCGACAGAGCGAGACTCCATCTCAAAAAAAAAGAAAAAAAGAAAAAACTGGTGTGTCCATGTGGTCGCCGCTTAGTCAAGGCCGTGTCTTCAGCTCTAGGGGGGCGGGAGGTCACTGGAAGTGTGGGGCCGCCCGTCCTGGCGTCCCTCTGTGTGAAGAGCACCTGCTCCCGGAGGCACAACCCGGGTCGGGGTCCCTCGGGAGGAGGGTTCTTGCCGGGCTATGCTCCTCGCCGGCCGGGCAGACGAGACAGGCTCCGCACCCGGTCTGGAGAGGGCTGCGCTGGGTCGACGCTGACGTTACTGCTTTTACTTACTACCGTAACAGCGTTACTGAGCGCAGAGCACGTATCACAAAGCTCACCCGTTGTGAGAGTCACTGACGTTTAGTAACTTCACCGAGAACGGCAGGACCATCCCCACGACTGTAGGACCTTTTCGTCACCCCAGAAAGAACCACGTGCCCACTCAACCCCTGACCCCACGCCGGGGTCCGCGAACGCGGCAGCTTCGCTCGCCCACGCACCTGCGGCTGCCGGGCCCTGCTGGGACCAGCGCTCGGCGGCGCCCCCGGGAAGAGTGCGGTCCGGGCCCTGGGTCCCCGTCCAGGAGGCGCCGCTGCAGCGGTGAGCACGTCAGGCCGGGTCTTGAGCTCGCGCCGGCCGCGCTCCCCGCGTCCCGAGCTGCGGCGGCTGCGTCCCCGGGCGGAAGGCTCAAGCTCGGTGACGCCTCGGGGTCCCAGAACCTCAGCGCCTTCGCAGACTCAGTGGTGACCCAAGGGTCCGCCCCGCCGCTGCCGGACGGAAGTCCCGCCCCCGCCCCGTAAAGGAAGTTCCGCCCCGCCGAGCGCCGATTGGCCGCACGGCCTTGGGGAGGACGCGCCCAGGACCACCCCACCGCCTCCGCCGAGGTTTCTGCGGTAGCAGGCGGCGCAGCCTGCGAGGGGCTTACGTTTCCCAGACTCAGCCGCCTCGCCTCGGCCCGAGCGCGCCTGCATCCTGCCGCCCGTCGGCGCGTTGAAGGGGCTGCTACAACCTGGACTTCCGAGCCCCTGATTGGCGAGCGTGCAGGAAAGGGGCGGGGTTAGCAGAGCCGTGATGGACGTGCAAGCGGCCCAATGGCGCTGGCCGGCGAGGGGGCGGGCGAGGACAACAGCGTTGGGGACCGGGGGCGGGGCGGCCGGTGGCTCTGGGATTTCTCTGGGAGGCAGCCGCAGGGAAGGGAATGATCCTGGTGAACTTGTAATCGAATCAATGGTTCCGGGAAAGCAGGAGGCGAGTGGCCAATGGCGACGGCGATGAGGCCGGCGTCCGCTGTCTCCGCAACGCCGTGTGGGAAAGGGAGGGGCGTTCATGACAGACGGGCGGACAGGCCAATGGCTGAGGGAAAGAGAACGGCGGGCGACCTATGGTGACGACGGGAAGGCAGGGCGGGGCGTCGAAGAGGCGGTGCGACAGGAGGCCTGGCGGCGCCGTGTAGGACGCGGTGAGGGCGGGGAAACCGTGAAGGACGGGAGGATGGGCCAATGGGTTTGGGAGGGCGGGCGAAGGGTGGCCAATGGCGGCGGCGCGGCCGGGGGCGAGGCAGCGCGGCGGCGCTGGCGGTGCGGGAAGCGGCGGGGCGGCGGCGAGGCTGAGGTGCGCCCGGGCGACGGGCGGGGCGGGGCCGGCGCGGGGCTTCGGGCGCGCCCACTCGGCCGCCCTGGGGCGGACGCAACGGGCGCAGGTGCGGGGCGCGGGCTCTGTCACGCCGCGGCCTCACCCGGCGGTGCCTCGGCAGGCGGCCGGCGCGGGGCGCGGGCGGCGCGGCCATGGGCTCGCAGGGCAGCCCGGTGAAGAGCTACGACTACCTGCTCAAGTTCCTGCTGGTGGGCGACAGCGACGTGGGCAAGGGCGAGATCCTGGAGAGCCTGCAGGACGGCGCGGCCGAGTCCCCGTACGCCTACAGTAACGGTAAGGCCCAGCCCGCGGCGCGCGCTGCTACGCGGGGCCCGAGCCCGGCGAGCTGGGCGCGGAGCTCGCCCTCGGCCCGACCCTTCCAAGCGCCGCCGAACGTGCCCAGGAACGCCTTTGCCTGGCTTCCAGACCCGGTGGCTCGGCGGCTGCGGGGTACCCGGGCTCCAGTCCCGAGGTGACGCCGGGGAGCAGGAGGACGGACCAGAGGGGCGCGCCCAGCGGGGACGGTGCCATGGACCCGGGGTTTGGGGGACGGTGTCACAGGTCCAGGATCTCAGGGGAAGGTGTCATGGATCCTGGAGAAGGTGTCATGGGCCTGGGATCATCTGGGGCCCGAAGGAAGGTATCGTGGGCCTGAGGGAAGGTGTCATGAGTGCAGGATCTGGGGTCTGAGAGAAGGTGTCATGGGTCCAGGATCTGGTGTCTGGGGAAAGGTGTCACGGGCCCAGTAGAAGGCGTCATTGGCCAAAGGGAAGGTGTGATGGGTCTAGGATCATCTGGGGTCCGAGGGAAGGTGTAATAGATCTGGGAGAAGGCATCATGGGTCTAAGGGAAGGTGTCATGGGTCTAGGATTATCTGGAGTCCGAGGGAAGGTGTCAGGGACCCAGGTCTGGTGGCAGGTGCTGCTGGACTGTTCTTGGGACCCTGTCTCGAGCATGCACAGATGACAGGTCGTTATAGGCAGACTGTTCCCCTGAGGTATTTACTTACAGCTGAGGGAGTCAACACTTTGTGCTGGAAGAAAATACGTCTGTAATGAGTTACTGAGCATTTTTCTTTTTTTTTTTTAATTTTTTTTTTTGAGATGGAGTCTCACTCTGTTGCCAGATTGGAGTGCAATGGCACAATCTCGGCTCACTGCAATCTCCACCTCCTGGGTTCAAGCGATTCCCCTGCCTCAGCCTCCCGAGTAGCTGGGACTGCAGGTGCGCGCCACCACGCCCGGTTAATTTTTTGTGTGTATTTTAGTAGAGACGGGGTTTCAGCATGTTGGCCAGGATGGTGTTGATCTCCTGATCTCATGATCTGCCCGCCTCGGCCTCCCAAAGTGCCGGGATTACAGACGTGAGCCACCGCGCCCGGCCTGAACGTTTGTTTTTAACTTCCAGTTGCATGGCTAAAATACACAAGATAGAGCGCATCTCCGGGGCTTGCCTGCCTGAGCGTGCCTCTTAATTTAGGTATTCAACATAGCAAAGTGGTTAACAGGGTCAGTGAGACGGCGTGGTCCTCATCACCCCTCATGGGGGCCTGGACCGAATGGGATGTTTCCCCAGAAGACCTGGGTGGCCCCAGATGAACTGGGAGCAGTCAGCATCCAGCCTCCCCAGAGTCCATCTGCGCTTCAGGGAATGCCATCTACACTGGCAAACTTACCTCTCCTGGTGCCTGCCCTCTCCCCTTGCTTTGTTTCTTGGGCTCTTGTCTGTCCTGTCTGACTGCCCTGAGCGTCTGCTGTTTGCTGAGTCGCCTGCCCTTGGCTGCTGAGAGTGTGGGCACAGCATCCCCCACTTTCTCACTCAGGGGTTGGCACAGTGTGGGGTTCCCTGGACTTACGCTGAGCGCCCTTCCTTCTGGCATGGCTTCAGCAGTGGGCAGCAGCACCAGGGGCTCTGGAAGCTTGTGCTCTTGGCCTTAGCCTGGAGGGGGGGTTGAAAAGGGCCAGGGAGGAAGAGCTCTGGGTCCATTTTTAGGTCGGGGGAAGTGTAAGGCCCACCAGGGGCATTGGGGGCTCACACGTTAGGCCCCTACACCAGCCGCAGCCTCCCGGGCCTGCACTTGACAGTGACTGTCTCAGAGTTGGGAACTCCTGACTCAGGTGGTGGGCGGCCAAGCTGATGGTGCAGGTGGCGTTGCCTTCTAAAGCCTGGCTCCAGGGGTGCTGTGGTCTCCCAGGAGGCTGGCGGCGTGCGTGTTTGTGCATGTTCAGACGAGCATGGGAAGGGCTGGGCTTCATCAGGGTCAGTGTTTTCCCGGGACATGAATGCTTGCTTCTGAGGGCCAGCTCAGCCACACTGGCCAGCTCCTCTACTCCAACCGCACCACACAGCGAGGAGCTGGAGAGACAGGACCCTCGTTCCTCCCTGTCCCCTTTGTTGGGCTGCGGGGCATTGCCACACTTCCTCTGACATGCTTGCTAAAGTGGGGCCAGTATTGTGTAAGATGTGGAGACCTGCCTGCTTGCAGAGACTTTGGAGGCTCACAGTGGCTTGGACCAGAAGCAGAGGGAGAGTCCGCTCTTAGAAAGACACCACGCGCTCTCAGGGCCCGGGGCATACTTCCAGGTCCCCGCGGGAGTCCTGTGGCCTCGAGCAGAAAAGGGAGCGCCTCTGGGCTATGGAACGCGCTTTCCCGTGTCTAGGGCCTCAAGGTTAAGACGTGCACAGCACAAGGAGCGGGTCTTTGTGGTCAGGTGGCAGCTTGCCAACCCCAGGGGCCAGCCCTCTTCATCAGGGTGAAGTTGGTGGATCTGAGGATTTCCCGAGCGGGCTGCGGGGGTCTCGGAAACTCAGGAGCAGCTGGTTCTCAGGACTCAGCATCTTGAGAATTTATTCTCCTTTGGAAGAGTTATAGCAGGAGCTTTAGGTCTCTGGCCCTCGTGGGAAGGACGTACCTGTTAACTTTCGTTGTTTTCTCTCCTTTATTGTGAGGTGCCTTCTGTGTTTCCAGCTTCCATGTTTCTGCAGGGCTCCCTGCTGGGTGGTGGATGCCTGTGGCAGGGAGGCCCCTTCTGTGCAGGGCTTGCTGCTCCAGCATGGCCCAGAGCTCCTTCAGCTCACACCAGATCACTTACTTGCCTGTCTAGCACGTTCCTCAGACAGGTGTGTGAGCGTACGTTGCCCTCTCCAGCTTCACAAACAAATGAGTCATCAAAGTGACCTTTTTCTTAGTGCTGGCACCTGAGGCAGTGGCGTGTGACTGCACGCCCAGCACCTGTGGAGCCCCTGTGAGCTCTTCTGTGTCCCCTAATGCGGGTGTGCGCTGGGTTTCCGGATCTCTAGATCTGGAAAGGTTTTCTTTTCTTTGACACCCAGCAGTGATCTTAGGGAGTGCTTCATGCTCTCCTCAGGACAAAACAGAGCCCTTGGCATAGAGTGCCTCTGAGCGACCCAGGAGCGTGGGCGGTGCACACGGTGGGAAGGAGGAAGCTTCAGTTTGGGAGCGACCCTGCAGTCAGGCTCCAGGGTGTGGGCCAGGGTGGTGGGCCCATTTGGCCCTGAGGAACCACCCTCATGGGGTGCACACCCTCCCCCAAGCCCAGGAAGCATCCTGCTGTGGCCGGCCCGCTCCTGCTCTGTGAAGGACATAGAAGGTCCTGGATTAAGGCAGTTCCTCCCTCTGTACCTTGTCCCCTACAAACCTTCCTGGGAGCCAGTTTGCCTCCAGCCACGTTTGTCAGGGTTTGTGTGCCCAGATCCTGGAAGACTTCAGAAGAGGTTAATCCTCTTGACTTCATTTCTCTCTCTGCTCCTTTGGGAGTCAGTGTTGGTGGAAGCTGCTGAGTGACACTCTGGTCCTTTGAGCCTGGCAAGTTGTGGGGAGAAATGGAGGGAGGCAGTTGTGGACATAGCAAGGCCGACATCGCGGTTTGCTGTGGATATTGGGGTCTGATGGCCACTGACATGTCTGTGGGGCCGCACTCTGCCTGCTGTGCCCATGGGAGCGAGGGCACCCTGTGCGGGAGTCCCAGCTTCTTCAGCTTCACAACTCCCTGAGCTTTCTCCAAACAGTTACAAACGTTTCTTCTCATCTGACTTGAAGTTCACGGCTCCAAAGTGGCCAGTTCCAGGGGAAACTGTCTTCAGAGGCTCCTCTGTGTTTCATTGTCCTGAGTGAAAACCACGTGTGTGTTGTCGGCTGCTTATCCCCAGGGCTGGCTGAGGCTTTTGCGGGAGGTTCTAGCTGTGTGTCTTCAGGTGACTGGACAGCCGTGCGTGGCTTCCCTGTGCCTGCTGTTGGTGGTGGGCACCACTGCAGCCCGGAGTCCCTTCTCTTCTCCTGCACTTGATTGGGTTTTGCTCGTTTTCTTTTTTTTCTTTTTTGAGACGGGGTCTTACTTGTCCCCCAGGCTGGAGTGCAGTGGCACGATCTCGACTCACTGCAGCCTCTGCCTTCTGGGTTCAAGCGATTCTCCTGCCTCAGCCTCCCGAGTAGCTGGGATTACAGGCGCCTGCCACCATACCTGGCTAATTTTTGTATTTTTAGTAGAGACGGGTTTCACCGTGTCAGCCAGGCTGGTCTCAAAGTCCTGACCTCAAGTGATCCACCTGCCTCGAGGTTTTTGCTGGTTTTCTGGGGCAGTATTTTGGGGTTTGCTTTTCCTCTGTGAGGTGCCAGGTTTTCCAGCAGGGTGGTGTTCTTGGAGGAACAGGGGTGATCACCATGGTAACAGCTAATGCTGCCAGCGTGTGATGAGTGCCTGCCAGCACTGGTGGGTGCTTCCCGCTGCCCCCATGTAACCCCCACTGCCACCTGTGAGAAGGCAGCGCCACCCCCATTGTGCAGGCGAGGGATTGTGGCTCAGAAGGTAGCAGCTGTCGAGGGCAGGCTCAGGGTCTGGAGTAGCTGCCCTGCAGACCTCCTGTGAAGCAGGGGGCTTCATGGCTCTTCCCCCGTCCTCCTCTTCACCTCCACCTGGGCCTGGGGTAACTGCCACACACCTGCTTCTGCTGCACCATGTATACTAAGTTCTTCTGAGACCCGAGCCTCAGAGGACCGCCCCAGCCCCAGGGTGACCCTGGGCGGCATCTGGGAACCTACATGTTCAGGAGGTAGGACTTTGTGGGTCATTATAACTTTTTTCTTTTTTTCTTTCTTTCTTTTTTTTTTTTTGAGATGGAGTCTAACTCTGTTGCCCAGGCTGGAGTGCACTGGCATGATCTCAGCTCATTGCAACCTCTGCCTCCCGGGTTTAAGTGATTCTCCTGCCTCAGCCTCCCAAGTAGCTGGGATTACAGGTGCCCGCCACCACACCCGGCTAATTTTTGTATATATA